AGTCAAGGGGTCAAAGGGTCATCAGTCAAGGGGTCATGAGTCAAGGGGTCAAAGGGTCATCAGTCAAAGGGTCATCAGTCAAGGGGTCATGAGTCAAAGGGGTCCAAGGGTCATCAGTCAAGGGGGTCATGAGTCAAAGGGGTCACGAGTCTAACGACCTGATGAGTCAATATGCAGATTCCGCAGATTGTAGCAGATTCAGCCTCCTGATGAGTCAGTGCAAGCCTGATGAAACAATCTACCATCAGCAGTTTTTACTCGTTACTTAACTTTTGAGAAATTTGGACCATTTCTCGATTTATGCATGTCATCCTTGCGCAGGGGCCATGCTAATCTTCTTTCTCTGTATCGTTCCAATTTTAACAGATGTCCCGAAGGACTGTTTTTCCTGCTCTTCATGTTTCTTGATACTTGTCTCAACTTGAGTTTTTTTTTTCCCTTTGTTCTTTCAAGTTTTTTTTTTCCCTTTGTTCTTTCATTCATGTACTTGTTTATTAAATTTATTTATTTATTTGTTTTCTGTGTGTGTGGTTTTCTGCATGTTTGCTGTTCGTCTGGTCTTCGAATGCTACTTCTACTTGGTTTGTTCCGTGCTGGGAGAAGGGTCTGTGTTGGGGTTCGTAACAGTGCACTGTTCAATGCAGTATGCTGCAACACCCCCCCATCGACCGCCCCACCCCCCGGCAACACACACACATACACACATGTAGAAGAAATTATGGTCAAGCAGCTTGTTTCAAATTTCAATATACTTGTCTGCGTGGAAAAGGGGTGGTTATGGTGCCAGTTTCCGACACGCACTTGTGCATGGGACGATTCAGAGACAGATATGTGAGCACATACTCGCAACCGCACCATGCACCGTACCGTCCGGTTCGCTGCACGTCGTGCGGCGCGGCACCTGCTCGTGTGCCGTACCAGCAGTAAAGGTGCATGGAGTCTTAGCGTCTAGCCGCTGGTACTCCGCATCTTCACGGAGAATTCAATTTCACTGAGCCCATGTTGGCGACAGCGGGGCAGTCGTTACACCATTCGTGCAGGTCGCTACTTATGCAACACAATTGTGTTCGTTCCCTTTTTTTTTTTTTTTTTTTGCTGTTTTGGTAGATACAAAAGAGTGCAACACCAAAGGAACTGATCTTTTTACATGTGCAGTCGTACAGAGTTTTCTTTCCGTCCAAATGGACATGAGAAATAGCCTCAAAAAGGTGTCTGGGACATCAGTCTTGAGCTTTAGGTAGTGGCATTACCCTCCCACTCTTTTTTTTTTCCATCCCACAACAAATCTTTAAAGGGAACGCAGGTGACGACCATTGACCCAGCCATGCGACCCCTGTTCTTTTTTTTGAGTGAATATTTCCCCCGTGCGCCTCACCATGTGGGGTCCGCTCGTCCGTGAAACGTGCAGAAATTTTATGCACGGCGTCCGCTTGCATGTATGATTCGAACGTGTGTACTCAAACAAGCACTTTTCGTCACCAAACAAGTACTCGTCATTATCAAACAAGTGCAGGCAATAGACTTTCACAGGGAAAAAAAAGGACTGTTAGCTTTTTCACATCATTCCGGTG